TGCGCAGAAACGACACCAGCGCTGCGACGCACAAGTAGCATGAGCACTGAAGAAAATTTAGAAGGAATTACACTGCAAAAAATAACTGCAAAAAATGACGGCTAGACCCGCAAAGTATTTTCCGGTGGTTTCCGCTTTTTGAACGGCACTGAGTGGGTACGGACCCACAGTACCTCCGTTTGAGTGCTACGCAGTCGGAAAACGGTTCTTCCGTACCTCTTTTTTGAGGGTAACGGTGAAGCCCTTTAACGGATATGTGGTGAAAAGTCAGTGGATACGGTCTCTCCTCCGTACTCTGGACTCTGTAGCATGTTTCAGTTTGGCAGTGACGGTGCACCGTGCCTGATCCCTCTCTCATTTTTTTTAACAGTGTATCCACTTCCTTCGTGGCAACGCTCCTTTGCCCCAGAGTCTTCGATAAATTTACAGACGCGAATAGCCGGTAAATCCCCCACCCAGCCGCCCAGTAGTGGGGAAATTTCGAGGAGGCCACAACTCTAGATATCATGTGTACACCATCCTTGAAATCCCTCCGAATAAATCATTTGAAATCTACATGCAATCATAAAATTATGCGTAATCTATCAATAGCTTGAAATCCACTTAAATTGTATGTGAAATCCTTCGAAGTCTACCGAAATACTGTGAAATCCACCAAAATCACGTGATATCCGCTGAGATCATTGTCAATCTTTAGGCTCCGACCTTTAAAGAGTGCGGCCCTAATGGAGCCGCGCATAACTCCGGAGGGGACACCTAATGGCCCGACATCATGTCATTAATGGCAGGCTAAAACACCGCAAGGGAACAGCCGTCTGCGCTCCGGAGGGGCGCTGGTGCCCGGCGCAGCGCCCTTGCGGAGGGGCGGACCGGGCCGGACTCGGCGTGCTGTGGTTACTCACCTTTGCTCTGTCCGGTGTTCTTGTCCCGCAGCACGTTGATCTGGTGGACCCGACCGAACTCCTCGAAGAGCCTGGTGAGGTCGGCCTCGTCCATGGAGCGCGGCAGCTGGCCGACGAACATCTTGATGTAGTCCGGGTCCGGCTGCTCCATACTGCGACACAGACAACACGACAAAGTTGAATTAGCACGTATCGCAACTTTGGCTTCCGAACATAAAATTTGAACAGTACATGCAATTTCTGCACGTCCTTAAGTTTCTTGCCGAGTCGGATCCCACGTGGCGTTTGGGGCAGGGGTCGTTTTGGTCAGATGGAGTACTATAGTTACAACTACTTCCTTCCGGCCATGGCGGCAGGTCGGCGGCGGGCACGGTCGGCCGCCGCTTGGTCGGTCTCGGGTTTGGCCGCCAGGCTGCCTTTGGGTCCGACTTGGGGACCCGAGTCGACCCCGCCCTCCACCCCGACGCCCTCCCCTCCCGCCTTGCGGTTCCGCTCCGCCGCCCTTCCATCCATCGCGCAGCTTCCAGGAACCCCGGGACCCGTCAAAGGGACGCCCTGGCGGAGCCGGCGGGGACCGCAGGAGCAGAAGAGGGCCGCGCCCCTCGTTCAGTTTTACACCATACTTCCACAGAGGAGAAATGCAGTAGACAAACAGAAAAATTCTCGCACATCTATAAACTATTTTGCAATGGGGAAAAAAAAAGAAAACTGACTTAAATTTTCAGCGAAATTCGTACTGCTACAGCTCTAGCTCATAAAGTACGCTTCAGGGCGTGCTCTTGGTCCTTTCCAACCTCGCCCTCGTCCTCCTTTTCGTGAATGCTCCTGCCTGGACCGCGCTGCAGGGGGGCCATCCTGCCCGGCTCTGCACGGCTCTGCCCCCCGCAGACCAGCAGTGGCAGCGGGGGCCCGGGGGCGTGCGGTGTCTATGTAAATCTGTGGACCACCGTCTTGGGTCATTGTGGTCACGCAGGGGCGTGGCGGGGCGTAGCGTGGCGTGGCGCAGCGTGGGGCGGTAGCCACATTAGCCAAGCCCCGGAGGAGACGCACGCCGCAGCGCAGCCCACAAGGCCAGAGGCAGGTCCGGTGAAGAGATACCTGATTAGGTTAGGGACACGCACCAGGTGTGGTCGGGGGGTCGGCGGCGTGGTCGGCGCGCCCCAGAGCAGGTCGAGTCCCACCTCAGTTCTGCTGCGCGCGCGTGCCGAGGGTTGGTCGGTGCGAATAACACCACGAGCACGGCCTTGGCTGCGTCCACATCGAGCACCTCCTCCTCCTCTCTTCTGCGCCACACACTATATAGAGTGTGGTCGTATATACGACTAGATGTAGAAATCACTCGGAGGGCAATGTGAGCTGTCGTGACCCAAATTGAGCCCGTGCTCGACCCGGCCGGGGCTCGGCTCGCCGACCCGACCGACTGCACCGTAGATTAGATCCCCACATCCCATCGCGTGCCGCTACCGGGGGGTCGAGAGGGGGGGCCGACCCCCCGCGGCGGCGGCGGTGGTCGTGCTGCCCACCCTCTCCCTCCGCCTCCCCCACCCGGCGTCTTGATAAAGTACGCTTACTTGTATCTTCTAATTACTTGGACGCAGCATCCGGTCCAGACCAGAGCCACAGCAGGGGCTGGGGATGGGGCGGGCGAAGGGGAGTGAGAGAGGCAACTCGGAGGAAAGGAAAAGGAGCCTTCCTTCCGCGTGGTTCTGTCGCGTCTCCCTCGCTCTTCTCTGACTCGTTCTTGTCTCCGCTGGCTCCACTCCACCCTTCTTTCTCCGTCTCCCAGTGGCCGTACCTACTCTGCTCCAAGCTCAGGTAAGAGGACGCCGTGTACGTCTCACCGCGCATCCTGCTGCCGCCTCATCCGCTTTCGGCCTTCGTCAACAGAATCACAATCTACGAGGCTGCGGGGCTGGCGGCGCCCGGGCTGCGCCCCTCCCGACGGGGCGGCCCGTCCTCTCCCTATTTCTCATGGCTAATTATCGTCCCTCTCTCCGTTATCTCCCGGGTCCGGCTCGTCCCGCCCCGCCCGGATGCAAGGCGGGTGCTGCCGCGCCGCCCGGCTGGTGCCGCTGCCACTGAGATTGGGAAGGCCGTCCTAAATCCAGGCCAAAGTCTCCGTCGACTTGACTCGGGACTCATCCCACCCCCACCTCCCCCTCCTCCTCGACTTCTCTCTACGCTGGCTGCGCCCGCAGCAACAGGACTCTGCCGCGTCGACTACCTCCTTGCTGTAGCCCCTGTCGCCCCCTCAGCCCTGCTGGGGAGGCAATATGTAAAATAGCGAACTTTATTTTCTACAACTGAAGATACAAACGCCACTGTGACTATACAATCTTCAAGATTGCATCTGCTTGCAGGATGCGCACACGGGCGCATCTTGGTATAGCAAGATCTTTTCTATGTAAAATTTAGAAGTTTTTTAGTACACAATCAATTTAAAAAGTCTTAAATTGCCAAAGATAAGTTAGGTAAAAATGGCTGGATCGAAAAGAATCCTGCGTCAATTTGTAGGTATCAGTAGTTATTACCTTCCCACAAAATTTAAAAGGTGTGGCTGCAAAGGTCCTCGTATAATCGTGAGCGCAAGATTTCCCCCCGTTTGTGTGTGTCTATTTATTCCTCTTCCTGTGCTTCCTTTCCTATCCTCATGGCGCGCAAAAGAAAGCGCCAACAGATAAATATCCCACCCACCACGCGAACGCGGTTGCTAGCGAGCGACGCCCGGTCACGCCGCTCACGAGTCGATAGGTCGGCGGAGGTT